AAACCAGATGAAAAGTATTCAGGATATCCGGATGTTCTAATCATCCTTGTAAGGTATATCAGCTCTCTGCTTCATTGGATTAACAGGTTTAGATGGTTTAAACTGATGGCAGGATTTCCATCCCCTGGATTAATCCCACCTGATATGTGGACCCACCTGCTTGATGTAAAGTTCATATAGTTGGGTTATAAAAGTGGATAGGTAAGCTATTACTAGAAATAGTCAATAGGCAGTGTTAATTCTATATATAGAAGACATTATAATATAAACCGATATGTACATGTTTCCATATGTAGAAGACACTTGATATCTGTCTAGATATTATGTATCAATAAAGATTTGCATCGATGCACATTCACTTTTAAAAAAAAAAAAAACAAGTATATCTAAGTTATTTGACTTTTAATATTCTTGCCTATATGAATAATATTATATTAATCTTTGACTTCAAGTTCTAAATAGAAGTTCTCCTTAAAACTACAAGTTAATTCTTTTAAATTAATAATATTATATACAATAAAATTAAAATTAAATCATTAACAACATTAAAATTAAATAAGATAGTTCAATAGCTATTAATTTTAAGAATTATTCAATATAATTTCTCAAATTATATAAAAATATTAAATACTTGAAAACTATTTTTCTCTATACAATTTTTTAAAACCAATAGAAAAACTTTTTATTAATTTACTAATAAATTTTAAGAAAGTTATTTAAAAAATTATAAAAAAAAAAAATAAAGCAATATATTAGTAAGTGAAAAATTTAAATCCTTTTTATTTATCTTTTTCTTAAATAAAAGTCTTATCAATTTTATTTAAATAAAAATTAACAAACTTATTAAATCAGTATATAGAATTTTTTCAAAATATTAAACATAATAATAGTCAACCATAGTGGTTTTAATATTCCAATTTTTAAAAAAAAACAAAAACTCAATTTCATAAGTAGCTTAATTACCAAACTAGTTATATTTATGATTAACAAATATATTATTCAAGAGATTATATTTATTCAAAAAAATAAAGCAATTTAGTTTTGTCTAATCTATAAGCCAGAAAAATTTAATTAGAACAGTTAGATCTTATATATAGCCAAAGCCACTTAAAACTTCAAAATTCAGATCTGCCCTTCAAAATATAATCTTAACTATAATAATGTTATCAATTCAATAGGTTTAATTTTCAAAATCTTTTATTATATCTTTAAAAAACAGCCATTAACATATCCAATGCACTTAATATCAAATTTACTAACTAGTTGCTAAAATATAACAGCCATCATAAACTTATTTGAACACAATTAACCTCCCATATCAGGATAATCTGTTGTAATCTGAAACTTATTTGGCTCAAAAACTTTAACAATATTAATAACAAATTAATTGATATATATTATTTCCTTTCAAATATTAACCCAACCTTCTAATTTATTTATAATTTTCAACACTATCATTAGAATCAACAAAGACTACAGATTGTTATTAAAATATACTCTTAAGAGAAAAACATCATACAATAAATATTAATAACAATTTTATTAAATATCCAGGTTGATCTTTTGAATTATGGTACAACTATAATTATAAAATATACTTTATAAGCTCAGGTAGGTGTAATTAATAAATCTATTTTAATTTTCAAATATTACTTTAGACACTTGCAAAATTCACGAATGCCTTAATGAAACAAATTACATAGTATAAAGTTAATAGAGAGGAGATAACTGATATCTAAAAATTCAATCCAGGTACTGTACACGTCTTGGAAAAATGTTTTTTGTTATTTAATACCTATAATTTTCAAATACAAAAAAACATGTGCACGTTCACAATTGTTCACGCCGATCACTTTTCCAAGAAATTTCGCAGACCTCGGATCGTTTAAATTTGCCAAGTAAAAATGATATAAAAATATAACTATTTTTTTACCTGAAATAGTAGTAGTTTATTCACACGAATTCATATTAATATATACCAATTCTTTATTAATAAAATATATGATATTGCAGAATAAAAAACATAAAAATGAATTAATCTGGATAATGTACAGGATATCCTATACATAAATTGTTTTATTATTATCGTTATATCACCACTACTATTATTATCTTGGAATAATCAAAATCATCATGTGATAGTTGTGGTGATGGTCGTAGTTGTAATAACGGTTTATTTTTTTCGATATTTTTTATTACACGATCACAATTATAGCCAAGGGGATTGGGTCTTCTTGTGCGAAGATTATATGGTGTTATTATTATTATTATTATTACTGGTAAATAGGAATAATAATAATAATAATAATAATAATATGATGATGATGATGAAGATGATGACGAAGATGAAGATGATGAAGATGATGACGAAGAATAAGAAGAAGATGATGATGATGGTGTTGTTGTTATTGCTGGTGAAGAAGATGATGATATCGTATTATTATTATTATTTATTGATGTTATTATTGCTGTTATAATCATGATCAACTCATTTTCTTTTTTTTCGCTGAATCGACGTTAAAAAAGTATTATTGTCGTTGTTAATGTCATTATAATTGTTATGATTGCTGTTGTCGTTATCAACAATATCTTCTAATATAGCATCATAACTAGCACCACCGTTATTATCATGTAAAAAATCATCATCTTCATTAACTATTCGAAATTCAAGAAAAAATAAATAATCAAAATTCAAATAAATGAGTTGGTGCCGAGGACGCGATAGTTCACCCTGAATGTGAGCTTCTTCTGCTTCACGGACCAAGATATCTTGTTTCTAATTTCAGAAGAATAATTAAGAATATTAAATGTTAATATAAACGCAAATAAATGGTTTACTTACTATCTTACATTCCGAGATTACATTATTCTAATAGTCCTTGAAATTATAACGTTGTCGTTCCGAATTAATCTATTGTAAGGAAAGCAGTCATTAATGTTAACAGTGTGTAATTTTTTATTTAGTGGTGAGGGCATGCCGGAAACCAAATGGTTTGGGAAGTGTTGTTAAACGGCTTGTCCATTGGTAAGAGTCACATCCTTTTATTGTATGTGACAATTACCAATAGACAAGTCGTTTACAATACTGGTTCCCTATAATGTAGCTGACAAACGGCATGCCCGACTCTAGCTCCAGAATCAGCAGACCTTTGCCAACGACAAAGTTAGGGCGTCTGAATAGAGAACCTGGGACTGGTTACCCAGGTTGTCATATACAGTAGTTCTCCTAGGCAATTCACGTAGTGGATTCGACTAGAAGTTACTCTAACTTTGTAAAATAAAAAAATACACCTTCGTCTTATTTGACGCGAAACAAAAACAAATCTTTCTGGAGTTTTCTAATCCGTTGTCGAGACGCGATTGTTGCTACCACCTTGACCGATTCCCAATGGAATGATCTTGATAACGCCTGGGCTACTCACTTCATAGAAGAAGCAAGAAAGTTTGGAGATTTAAATGAAAAAGTTCTTCGTATCCAGGATATTTTTGTTCGGAAGTCATGTATAAAAAACTTGGTAAAAATAGCTTGTTGAGGTCCAAGAAAAGTAGAAAAACGCGAACCCTTAAACACGTAGTTTCTCCTTAAATAACGTGTATACTACATGCTAATTAATATATCACATGACTATGCAAATTTCTATTGGGCAAAGCCCGTGACGCAACATTCCATTCTATAACACATGTAGGGTAACTGGCATAATAACTATAGGCATGCCACTATGGCATGCCAATTAAAAATATACCATAGGCATGCCCATTATTTAAATTAATATAAGGCATGCCACTTATATTATATATATAGTTACAATTTACTTATTTTAAATTATATAATAAAAATTATATACTGTATTTTCAAATATTATATTTTTTAAAGTAATTACATATAAATAATAACAATATAATATATAATAATTAATAAATACGTATATAACTTATATATTTTTCTAACAAAATATTTTATATAATTATAAAATTTAAAGTTGATAAAAAATATCGTCAATCGACCAATCTTCATTAGTATCAGTAGATTGAGAATAATTAATTAAATTTTTATCGATTTTTTTTTCTTGATTTTGTTTAAAAGCTTTAACGTCAAAAAATTTTTCTATTATTAATTCACTATTTGTATATATATTTACCGGTTCAACATTAATTTGTAAAAACTCCTCATTAAAATCTTCTTCAAAAAAATATTCAATATTGATATCTTCAGTATCTTCAATATCATTATTTATAAAGTTTTTATCTTTCGCCTTAGATTTTTTTTCTGGCAATCTTTGCTGAAGATCGTGACGAAGCATTCCAAGCATTCCCATTAAAGTAGGAGATATTCTGTTCCGTACTTTTGTTTTTATTATTCCTAAGCTAGAAAATAACCGTTCAATAGTTGCTGTATGTGGAACAATTGCGAATATTTTCATAGCAAAACGTCGAAGAAGTGGAGAGCCTTCAGTAAATCGGGTCCAAAAAATTCTAGGATTAATATCTTTAATATTTTTTTGATTATCAAAAGGAGCATCATCATTCTTATAGTTAATAAGTTCTTTAAATAAAAGAGTTGCCTCTCTTTTATTAAAGTTCCAAGCTTTTGCTAATTCTAAAGATGCCTTAATAATTGAATCTCCCGACATTTGTTCTGATATTATAATGTGCTTATAATTTGGAGATAAAAAAAAAGCAACAAAATAAATATTATCAGAAAACTCACGCGCTCGTTTATCTATAGCTGTCAAGGTATGGTTTTTGAATTCATCTATCGGAATATTTATTGTAGATATAGTGCAATGAATATTCAATAATTCTTTAAAAATATCAGCTAATGTAGTATCTTTCGATTCAAGGCGACCAATGGCATCCACAATAGGAATAAGCACCTTTATTAATATATCATTGTCTGCAAAATGATGACGATTGGTAACTATATCTTGAATTTCCATTCTAATTGTTGGATAATTGCTAGTTCCACTAAGATCAATACATTGCTGAAATCCTTTTTCGAAAGCTTTTACTCCTAAACAGACTTTTGCAAGAGAGTACCATCTAGTTTCGCAAAATGTTGTAAGTGAATGTTGTATTTTTTCTTTTTTTTGCCATTCTTGTAATGTTCGAAGCCAAATGTAAGAAGATGTAAAGAAGTTAACAAGCTTTTGATTGTTTTTAATAACTTTTTGTAAAGGCGGAAATGCAGAAATATCTTTTGCAAGAAGATTAAAGGCATGAAGACAACAGTGAATAGGAATAATATTTGGATAAATATTCTTAAGATCAGCTCTCATTTGTGTCATAACCGCAGGATTATCAGTTACACATGCAATAATAGAAGAATCAATGGAGATGGAATTGGATCAAAGAATTCTTTCAAGCTGTTCTCTAAGAAAAATTGCCGTATGCCGGTTTGCAGATAGATCAATAATATCTAAAACATATTCTTGATCTTCTTTCAAAGCCATAAAACCATAGATAGAATTTCCGGATATGTCTTGCCATCCATCCAACGTGATAGTAATATCGGTGAGAGATTCCATTATTTCAAATTTTTTAATTAAATAATTTGAAAAGGAATTATTAAAAACTTTAGTACGTAATGTATCAGCAGAAGGTGGATTATAATTTGGTGCTAATTCATTAAGAAATTTAAGAAAATAAGGATTCTCAATAATTTTAAAGGAAAGGTTACCATATACAATGATATCAAGTAGTTTTTCATTAATTTTATTATATTTGTCTTGTAAAATTGGTTTAACGCACCAATTCATTAAACTTTCTTGATATTTAATTATAGAAGATGGATTATTAGTGGCATTAATACTACTAGTAATATTAAATTTTCTGTTAGTTTAATTAAAATATTTATTATAATGATTATTTGAATTACATATGTAGATTGTTCTTGATCAGAAATAGAACTAATCTTGATTTTTTTGTGAGAAATAGGAGTAGAATTAGCAGTTTTCTTAATATAAGAACTTTTTTCGGCAACAGGCCAGCTATCACATGTAAGAACATGAGTATGAAGTCTTTCAGGTCTGCCAGATAATTCATAATTGCAATAAGAACATTTAGCAGTATATCTATTGCCTGCTACTTTTTTTAAAGAGTGCCAAAATCCTGTCCAACGATAATCATGAATCTTCATATTGGGAAGAGTAAAATCGGAAGGAAATTGAGTGGATTCTATTTCAATTACACTTGTTTCTAGATTAATATAAGATTGCATAATGTCGGTTTGAAATTTTTTGGAATTAAGTGATTTATGTTAGTAAGTTTATATATAAAAATCATAATACTAATTTTACTAATAAATTATTTGATCTCAATATATAATTGTATATTATACAGAAACAAATGTATCACCAATATCCATTCAATTTATTAATACGAAACATTCTAGTTCCATATTGCGAGGCGTTTGATTTAAAGGTAAGAAAATAATATATATTTCTAACACTAATTACATAATAGAATACTCATTACATTATTATGCATCAGTTTCAGATTGTTTTGTTCCATGCATTAATATACTACTCATCGTATCTCAAAATAATACCAGTGTTGATAGGTTGTTTTTCGATTACTATTTTCTTCTTCTACTTGTACTTAATCTCATAATATGGGGAATAGTCAAATTCCATTGGTTTTTGGGTGAGATGTTGGCATGATAAGATATTTATTATTTTGAGTGTTATCTATAGAGGAGTTTTTCTCCATTTTTCTCCAGTTCGCTTATTATTTTGTTCATATCGTCATTTCTTTTATCAACTTTGATCATTAGGTTTATATCATCATCAAGGTGTTCCTCCAGGATCTCACTTGGATGGCTAGTCACTACCCTTTTTGGATGTTTGTCTCCAATCTCTTTCACAAGTAGTGGTAAGTTCTTCAAATTCATTCGTTCGTTCAATACTTTCTTTATTCAGCTTCCTAGAGCATTCATTCAGGGTCTCGTTTGTTGTTCCTTTGGGCATCCATTTTCTCTTTGCAGGTCAAAGTCTATCTCTTCGTTATTTGCATTGCATAGATCCTCCAGGTAAGCGTTTGTTTCTCCAGTCGTAGTGCAAACAATTGATGTTGTGGCGGTTTACAAATTACCACCGAAATGCGTGATGTGTATAAAGTAAAAGAGGGTGTTATCAATATTCTTTCATATTGCAAGGATCAGAATAGTATCGGGGGTAATAGGTAAATGTCTCGCGTGAAAATATCGGGGTAACAGAAAGCGTCGAATTTCACAGTCACCATCAAATTACGACAGGCAACCTATTATTGTGAGGCATTTGATGTGATCGAGGTATGTATTTTCTTTTATTGATTTATAGTCACCATTCACTCTTTTATTTAACGATAAATGCTATCAATTTTATACTTTTTTACAAGAAAACCGGAAATATAGTGAAAGGTAAGGAAATTCTATGTATTTCTAACACTAATTACATAATAGAACATTTATTACATACTAATTGTTCCCTCCATTTTGGTTTGTTAGTCAGCTCACGTGATTGGTCTAATAAAATGTACTATTGTGAAATATACTGTACTTATGTACGATTTAAAGTAATAATTTCACTTAGTAATTGTTAGTACTAAATCAAATTAACAATGTTTAATGCCAATTTTATTTAAA